AGTAGAGACGGGGTTTCACCGGGTTAGCCAGGATGGTCTCGATCTCATGACCTTGTGATCCGCCCGTCTCGGCCTCCCAAAGTGCTGGGACCATCACTTAGATATTTTCTTTTTCTTTTTTTTGAGATGGAATTTCACTCTTGTTGCCCAGACTGGAGTACAATGGCGCGATCTCGGCTCACTGCAACCTCCCACTCTCTGGTTCAAGCGATTCTCCTGCCTCAGCCTCCTGAGTAGCTGGGATTATAGGCATGCACCACCACGCCCAGTTAATTTTGTCTTTTCAGTAGAGACGGGGTTTCATTATGTTAGTGAGGCCAGTCTTGAACACCTGACCTCAAGTGATCTGCCCACCTCAGCCTCCCAAAGTGCTGGGATCACAGGCGTGAGCCACCCCAGCACATTTGGTTGATATTTTCTTGATTGCCTGTCATTTTTACATATTTATTGTCTATCTCTTTCTCAACGCACCCAAACTTGACAGTTCACTGCTATTGGGCTACACCGTCTAATAGGGAAATCACATGTAGTTACCAGCCACTTGAAATGTGGCAAGTCAGAATTCAGATGGGCTGAAAGTATAAAATACACAACACATTTTGAACAGTTAGCACACACAAAAAATCTAAAACATTACAATTTATTTGATTACATGTAGCACTAATATTTTAGACATGTTGGATTGAAAGAGTTTTTAAATTGTCGCCTAGTTCTTTTCTCTTTTTTAATGTGACTATTTGAACATTTTAAATTACATACGTAGCTCACATTAAACTTCTGTTGGTCAGGGCTAGCCTAGAGGGTGCCTGGCACATAGTAGACACTCAACAAATATTTGTTGAATGAATAAATGAATTCTAACCATTGCTCTGAAGATTTCAACTGTTGCCCATTGTATTTCCTTTACAATGGGCTTTATTCCATTTGAAAAGAAGTTAAAACTCTGGCCTTTTTTGTACAGTAACTTGGCAGCTCTCAACAACCCTGCCCACACCCTCAAAACGAAGTTGTCAATCTTTAGGAAAATCCCAGAACTGGAAACAGATTTCTGTTAAAAAGGGAGGCTAGCTACAGATTGCTTTCACACTGAACTGTAAGGAGGCAATGGAAATGAAACGGAAGCTATAAAAAGATTCACATAGGATCTACACAAACAGTAGGGGCCCTTTAAAAAAGAATTCTACGGGTAACACACTCACTGAAAAGAAAGCCCTTATCTAGATGGGAAGGGGAGAGAGCTGCCTTTAACTCAATGCCTGACTTCAGCAAACAAAGAAATGTCATTTCCTAAATTAAAAAGTAACACCACCCCAGGGAATATCCAGATTTCAACCTTCCCACCCACAATAACAAGCCATCAGCAATCAGAATTCTCCAGACCAGGATGAAGCTTGAACTTGGCTGCAAGATTACAATGAAGTTCTGGAACAAATTCTGAGCCCTGGGCCTTGACCCCGTTCTGAAAATTTCTCCTAAGGAAATTGCATTTAAACTCGGGTCCTTCAAGAGCTGGGACTCCAGGAATCAATTCTAAATCTATCCCAAGTTTCTATACAGGTGGGGTTCCGAGGGAAGGTCGTTGGAGGGGAGAGGGCCGAGGCGTGCATGCGTCTTGAGGTTTTTTTCCCCTTGCATAAGAGACACACCTTTCCCACTGAGATTTAAATGTTCATCTGAGCTGGTTTGAGGTATATCCAATATCCTGACTTCCATGCTGTCTTCTGATGGGGATGACAGATAACAAGAATAGAGGCAAGGTCCTCACCCATCAGTGTATCCTAAACTTGCCTGATCATACATATCGCCAGGGATCAGCATCTCCAGTCCCGCCCCACCTCCACTGAATTAATCTCCAGTAGGAGAGGCTGGGAATAGATTGTTTCAACAGGGAACCCAGACACCATTTTTACCGGGTTCCAACCACCCTCCGAGGCAGGTACTAGAATTATCCCATTTTGCAGATACAAAACTGAGACATGGATGGCTGGCGGTGGTTCTGTGATTCGTCCACCGTCACCATCACACAGCTTGTGAGGGGCAGAGGTGACTCCCATCTAGACATGCGAGTGCGTCCCCTGGCACCTGGGTACCCAGAGACACCCACCCCCTTCGGGATCTCCGTTTTAGGGCTTGGTGCTCCCCACCCAGGAGCCCCCTCTTTCCCGGTCGGGGGATCTCCTCCCGCAGAAGCCCGATCTTCCCGATCCCGTCGCCAGCGGGAGCCGGGGTGGCGGCCACTGACAACGAAAGTGAAACAAAGCTGGTCGCCGGGCGCGCACCCCCGCCGGCCCGGCGCGGACCTCCCAGGCCGGACGCCCCCGCCGAGTCCAGCCCCCGCCCCGCCCCGCCGAGCCAGCCCCGGGGTCGCCTCCCCCTCCCCGGGGAGAACGGGCCACGGCCCCGCCGGGCAGGGACTGGCCGCCGGGCCCCACTCACCTCCGGCCTCCATGGAGGACGCGCGCGGCCCCCGCGGCAGGCGGCGGGCGCCTCAGCCCCCCGGGCCGCGGGCCCTCATGCCGCCCCCGCGCCGCCCGCCCTGGCCCGGCCGCCGCCGCCGCCCGGAGAGGCCATCAGCTGCTTCCCGTCACATGGCGGTGGGCGCGGGCGGAGACGCGCGGGGGCGGGGCGCTGGGGAAACGGAGGGGGGGTGCGGACGGGATAAAAACGGTGGGGAGGCAGCTGAGGGAAAAGATGGAAAATCGGGGGGGCGGTACGCTGACGGGATAAAAGCCCAGGGGGTGCTGAGGGGAAACGGGGGCGGGGAAGACGCGCGAACCAGATAAAAATGGGGCAGGGGTGGGGGGAGGTGAGCGGAAACGGGGTGGGGCGCGAACGGGATAAAACCCAGGGGTTGTGCGGGGTCCTGAGGGGAACTAGCGCCGGATAAAAACGGGGAAGGGAGGGAGGGGAACTGGGCTGAGGGAAACCGGGGAAAGGGGAGCGACAGAAACCGGAGTAGGGGAAGCCGGGCTCAGGGGAAAAGGGGGTGTTGGAGAGTGGGTAGAGCCAGGCTGAGGGAAAAACCAAGCGGGGGAAGCGGCGATCCGGGGAAAACGGAGAGAGGGGGACTGAGGGCGGTGGGGGGAAGGGGAACCAAAGGGGCTGAAGCGAAGTCGAGGGGAGGGGCAGGTGAAAATGGAGCCATGCGAAGCCCGATGAGGGGGGAACGGGTGAAAATGGGGGCGGGAGAAATAGGGTGGAGGGAACACTGGCCGAGAAGAAACCTGGGGGAGAGCTGGGCTTAGGCGAAAATGCGGAGGGAGAGGGGGTGGAAGGAAGGTGTAATAACCGGGTGCTGGGGCTTGGGGGAGGACATGAATAAGAATGGGGGGTGCGGCGAGGGTCAAGGCTAGGGTAAAACAAGGAGGGCCGCTCAATGGCTCCGGTAATGGGAGAGGGAAGTGAGGAGAAAACGGCGCAGTGGGGAGAGGAGCGCAGGGTGAAAACCGGGGTGGGGGTGGGAACGAGATAAAAAACGGGGCAGGGGCGATTCGGAAGAAGACTGTCCCCTTAACTACCTACTGCGACAGCCTCTCCTGTCCCCGTCCCCCTGAGAAAGCTGCTCCCTGTGTACCTGCATAGCCTCAAGAAATGGCTCGCTTGGGCCAGACGCCCCCTTTCTAACATTCCAGGGCCAGGGCAGGAGTCATCATGGAGGCCTTTCCGGCCTGAAAGACCCCATTTCTTAGTTGTGCGGTCCCCAGTAGTGTCAGTGGCTTGGGGATTTCTTACTGAGCTCAGCTCATTGTCCTCAAAATGCCTCCCTTTAGCCCCGACTCGAGCGCTTCCCTTTCCTGCTTTGGGTCCAAGCTCTTCCCGCGGTTCTTGGTGTCAGCTTCATTCAAGTCACTCTCGCGCTTCTCATTCCTTTCTCCCCGCCTTTCTTCACTTCCCTCCAAGTGCCCTCTCCATTTCCCGGTCACTGGTCCCAGAGCTCCGGATCGCAGTGGTTCCATTTTAAACTTCTTTGCTTTCTAACGCAACCTATGTTTTCTGCGGTAACTGAGGTTCCCGGGTTCTTTTTCGCCATGGTCTCTCCGTTTTAATGTTTTGGTTTTTTTACCCAGGCCCCTGTTTTATGAGCCCTGGGTACTTCCTTCTTGTGTCCCGTTTGGCCTCCTGGGTTACACTCCTGTTCACCCCACTTGGCCGGTTTTTTTTTTTTTTTAACCTGCCGATTTCTCAGTCTCCCCGTTTTCCGCTGGCTACCTGTCCCTTCCTCGCCGCCCATTTTAACTTTAGCATGCCCCGTTCTCACCCTTCATTTTCCACTGGGTATTTTTTATGCTTCCTAATTTTAAAAACGGACCAGCACACCCCTTCCTCTGGGTCTCCACTTTTTATCTCTGGCACCAGTGTCGGCCTCCTCCACCTCTGCTCCCATTTAATCGCTAATTTCCTGCCTCCTGAGGACCCCCGTTTTATTGTCCAGCCTCCCCCCTCCCACTTTTCTCTTCTCTAATTTTCTGAGTCTCCATTTTTTGTCTTCCAAATTCCTTCGATTCCTGGAGTCTTTACAGGCCTCATTTTTATGTACACATCATGGAAAAGAATAAAAGGGTAAGGGCGCAGGGCACGATGGCTTATGCCTGTAATCCCAGCACTTTGGGAGGCCTAGGCGGGCAGAACACCTGAGGTCAGGAGTTTGAGACCAGCCTGGCCGATATGGCCAAACCCAATCTCTACTAAAAATACAAAAATTAGCTGGGCATGGTGGCTGGCGCCTGTAAACCCAGCTATTTGGGAGACTGAGGCAGGAGAATCACTTGAACCCAGGAGGCGGAGGTTGCAGTGAGCTGAGATCTTGCCATTGCACTCCAGCCTGGGCGATAGAGCAAGACTCTGTCTCGAGGGAAAAAAAAAAAAAGGGGGGGGCTGAGGTGAGAAGAAGAATATTGTTACCAATTTTTAAAAAGCTAGTAAAAAAAAATTTTTGTCAAGTTCGTTTTTCCAAGTCTTTCAATTTACTAAGCAGGTCTCAATCAAGATCACAAAAGCACTTACTTAAAAATAGCTTTATTCCATTATCTTTTAAAAAATGCATATGATAACCTCAGAATTAATTTCTCCCAATCTCCCCCCACCACATCTTAAAATGTAAATAATGGAGAAAGAGCTGCTTTTTTTTCTTTGCAGCAGTTCCTGGCCAGTCCCAACGTGAGAAATATCAGTTGGCCCTTATTGCATCATAATACATTTTACCTAGTAAGGATGATTTTCTAAGTCTCAGTGCATGGGTTATTGCCATTTTCCATCTTGTGTTTTCCTGCGGCAATTATGGGGCTTGTATGTGCTTGTGAGAATTGGAGCCAATATCAAAGCCACAGAATTGTGGAGGCTCCCTTCCCGGGGTCCACCAGGTTTTGAGAAAAACAAGAAAAAGGTCAGTTGCAATGGACCTGAAGTGTTTATCTTCCTGGTCCTGATAAATAGATCTCACAGTCTCTAAGTTAACAATACATGCAGATAAGATTTTTTTTTTAAAGCACAGTGTAACAACTCGGACTTTGCCACACAAACTGTAATCCACTGTCAACAAGCTTGTGGATTTGGGCATGGATCGTCTTAAAGAAGCCTGAATTCTTCAAAAATCCTTAAAACTTGAAGACCTGGATTTTACCTGATCCAGGATATTAATGTGCACACAGGACTCAGATATGTGACGGGAGTCACAGCTCAGCTGGTCAAAGGTTTATAGTGTTTGGCACCAGGACCATGAAGCTCCCATTTGATAGTGGAAAAACCCTCAAATATTTCCTATCAACAGATGTGTGTGCAAGAGAAGAGGAAGTTGTGGAAAATATCCCAGTGATCTTACAAAACATTCTCTGTGTTCCCAGTTAGGGTTTTTTTTTTTTCACCTCAACAGTTTTTGTGTTTTCTTTTTTTAATCTTGTTGCCTCTGAGTAGTAGACTCTTCAATTCTGGAATTTGGTTGCCGAAGACTCTAAAGGAGAGACTCACTCAGTATTCAGTGACTTTAGAAGCAAGCTGAGTATCTCATTCTAAAATGACACTGATTTACACTGTTGAGAATGGTTAAGTACGTGGGTGCCTTGCAGCAAAAGACAAAAAGCCAAAAGCCAGTAGAACTGCAATTCACAGCTATTCCTGAGGGGTGCACATTGCAGCCCACTCTTGAGCTCCCCAATGTTCTGAGCAGGGGACAGGGCATACTTCTAGTGATTTGCTTAGTTTAGTCCCTTCATCCAAGAAAACAGACCTTCCCCAACCACACCTGCAGGGTTACTTCAGACAACCAGCTTCTCATTTTAGAGTCCCAGTTCCTAGAATTAGAGAAAGGAAGTTCCCCTTTAAGCCCTAGGTCCGGCCCACTAGAGCAGATACGCAACATTAAAGAGTGCAAATTCAAGTAAGTTTTTCATATTTAGCAAACATCCACTGCACCTTTATAAGATCCTTGACTTTAAGAAATTTATATGAAATCAGAACACTTAAATATTGAAACTATACAAGGATCTACTGGAAGCATCAGCAGGCTAAACTCATCACATGGTATTTTCATTCCAAATTTAGTGTTATTGATCAGTGTACCCTCAGAATATCCTTAAGCAGCAGGAAGGAAACAAGTTTTCCTCTTCCCATTTCCAAGATTGAGAAACAGTCCAGATGAGCTGGTTTGCCCAAGCAGTTCTTATCACCAGATACTCCGTTATTAAACATGTCTCCTGCCTTCTTTGAAAGCAACAGGAGAAATGAAGCATAGGAAAGTCTGCAAGCTAATAGTGTATCACCTAGGAGGCTTGTATATAAATATGAAGCTCTGCAAAATGTGGTTATAATGAAAGGCACTTGCTATTACCAGCTCCCTAACTCTTTTTAAAAGAATTCTATCTCCAGGGAAATAAAAATGGTTAAGACAGTGCTGATTTGCTTAGTTTAGTTCCTTCATCCAAGAAAACAGACCTTCCCCAACCACACCTGCAGGGTTACTTCAGACAACCAGCTTCTCATTTTAGAGTCCCAGTTCCTAGAACTGGAGAAAGGAAGTTCCCCTTTAAGCCCTAGGTCCTGCCCACTAGAGCAGATACGCAATATTAAATAGTACAAATTCAAGTCAGATTTTCATATTTAGCAGGTGATCTTACAAAGATGTTTTTCAATAAATGGATTACGTTTTTCAATGAGTGGATCTTACAAAGATGTTTTTCAATAAATGGAAGGAAAGATGTGTGTGCTTGTTTTTTTTGCTGAGACCCAAATGTTGCTAGTGCAAGCACCCACCAGGGGTACAGGTCGAGTCAAAGCTGAATGAAGAGCTCATCTTCAATGTAGCTTTCCAAGCTTTCCGAACGAGACAACAATAAGTGAGCAATTTCCTCATCTATTTTATAGGTGAGGAAATTGAGGCCAAGAGACAGGTAAAGAATTGTGCCCTAGCCCATGAAAGAAGGAAGCAACAGAGCCCAGATTCGACTTCAGGTGTTTCTAACTCCAAAGCCTGAACCAAACTGCCTTCCTCTGATTGGCATTGGTACCTGCAACTTCACCTGTTCCAAGGAATTGATATTTGCGTTGTGGCACGGCTGAGGCAGGAGAATCGGTTGAATCCGGGAGGTGGAGGTTGTGGTGAGCCGAGATTGTGCCATTGCACTCCAGCCCGGGCAGTAGAGGGAGACTCGGTCTCAAAACAAACAAACAAACAAAAAGTGGCAAAAGGCACCAAGACCCAGCGCTTCCCTGACCTCTCTGCTCCCTCCAAATAAGCATCTATCACAGTAAATCAACCTGGATAAAGCCAGGATTCACAGCAGAAGTGGCACCTCAGACACCAAAAGCAGCCTTCCTTCTCAAAGCTTTTAAACATCATTGGGAAAACTTAGAGCAAATCAAACCAACGTTTTTCAATAAATGGAAGGAAAGATGTGTGTGCTTGGTTTTGTTTTTTGCTGAGACCCAAATGTTGCTAGTGCAAGCCCCGGCCAGGGGTGCAGGTGGAGTCAAAGCTGAATGAAGAGCTCATCTTCAGTGTAGCTTTCCAAGCTTTCAAAGCAAGACAACCATGGACCATCCTCTTCTTCAGACTGGCCTGTCTTCTTCTTGAACAATGTCACTTTGCTCCTCACTGCTGTCATCTGCACAGGGGGGAAATAAACCCAATGCTTTGTAATCAGAGTGTGATTCTATTTCAACCATCAGTCATCAATCATCTCAGTGATTTCTAGTCCTTTCCTGGTGAGTCACAGAATGGGATCTCATGGAGAGGAAGGTGGGGTAGGGTGTATTTTCCCCTTTTCACCTGTTTTCTACACTCAAAACCTCTAGGCATGCTTGATACCAGCCATCCTTCATGTCCTCTGCTCACGCCCCTGCCCTCACCTGAAACACCCTGTCTCCTTTCTGCTTATTCCAACTCAGCCGTCCTAAAGCCTTGCTTCATGTCCACCTCTTCCATAAAGCTTCCCCTGACCAGTGCACCCCTCCAGGCTCTTATCTTTCTCTGAGGTCCTATAATTTTTGGTTCAGTGGCACGATCTCAGCTCACTGCAGCCTCAACTTCCTAGGCTCAGGGGATTCTCTCACTTCAGCCTCCCAAGTAGCTGGGGCTACAGGTACATGCCACCATACCCAGCTAATTTTTTGTACTCTTAGTAGAGATGGGTTTTGCCATGTTGCTGAGGCTGGTCTCAAACTCCTGGGCTCCAGTGATCCGCCCACTTTGGCCTCCCAAAGTGCTGGGATTACAGGCATGAGCCACCGCGCCTATAATTTTTAAATATTGTCCATCAGACAATTAATCAAATATCTTTCTGCAGCAGCTCTTCTACTGCTCTCTCAAAGTGTTGGTTCAGTCTTGCTCCTGTTTCCATTTCCCCTGTGGGTTTTAGTTTGTTCACCTAAACTGGTTTTTTTTATTTTGTTTTGTTTTGAGACAGAGTCTCACTCTATCACCCAGGCTGAAGTGCAGTGGCTCAATCTCGGCTCACTGCAGCCTCCGTTTCCCGGGTTCAAGTGATTCTCCTGCCTCGGCCTCCGAAGTAGCTGGGATTACATGCACCTACCATGCCCAGCTAATTTTTGTATTTTTAGTAAAGATGGGGCGGGTCTCACCATGTTGGCCAGGCTGGTCTCAAACTCCTGACCTCAAATGATACACCTACCTCAGCCTCCCAAAATGCTGGGATTATAGGCGTGAGCCACTGCACCCGGCCTGAACTGGTCTTGTAAAGCCCCTGCATGAAGACGCTAACAGTTTCTCTTTTCTATTCTCCCACAATGCCAATATTGTGCCTACCCTAGACCAGGACCTTGATAAGAGTGTGTCAATTTGATTTTCATGTTGGTAGTTGACAGTAGTCTCAGGTTCTAGACTAAAGTTTAGCTATCTTCCCCAGCCTTTAAAAAACCAAACTCACCCCTTAGAGATTTCCTGCTGAGAAGCTCACTGCAGTTCAGAGGTTTGTGGGCTTTTTTTTGTTTTGTTTTTTTGTTTGTTTTTTGAGACAGGTGTCCCACTGCTGCCCAGACTGGAGTGCAGTGGCGTGATCATAGCTCACTGCAGCCTGGACCTCCTACACTCAAGCGATCCTCCAGCCTCAGCCTCCCAAGTAGCTGGGATCACAAGTGCACACTACCATGCCTGGCTAATTTTTCTTTCTTTCTTTCTTTTTTTTTTTTTTGTAGAGACAGAGTGTCACTATGTTGCCCAGGCTAGTCTCGAACTTCTGGGCTCAAGTGATCTTCCCACCTTGGCCTCCCAAAATGCTGGGATTATAGGCATGAGCCAACATGCCTTTGTTTGTTTTCTGTTTATTTGTTTAAGGAAAAAGAGCTTACCTTGTAGATCCTGGAATCCATTTCCCATCTGTTCTATGTTCCCATTCACCAAGGCGGTCACTCTGTGAATGTGGTCCTGCTTAGGTATTTCTTTTGGCAACTCCTCTCTCTCATGTGCTTCCTCCTGTTCCTCTACTGCAGCATCTTCCTCCTCCTCTTCTGAATCCACCAAAACCATGACATCATCCATGTTTTGTCCCCTAATTTCCAAAGGGAAAAAATAATCAAGAAGATTTCCTATTTTTCCCAACTTCAGCCCTCACTGAATAGGAAACACTAGATTTTTTGCGACCCCATTAGTAATATGGAAAATTCCTCAGGCACTCAGCTTGGTGAAGTAATGAGATGATGGTGTGGTAACCAAAGAGAGAGATGCTGCCACAAATTGCTTCAGATGATGGTATCTCATGCTGGGTTTGTTTTATTACTCCCTTGCTCCTCGGGCAGGTGACCATGTCCCAGGCATCTACCATTTCATGTCCCCTTACAGCAGGTAGACAAATGTTTTTCCTTTTCTGAAATGCCCTCATTCTGCTCTACTTACCGAAATCTGTCCCCCTCTTCATTTTAGAAGACACAGGTAAAGTCCTCTCTCTCCCGCTAAAGACCTAAATTAATGATTCCATTTAGAGTCCACACTGTAGTTTATTTACTGTCAGCTCACTAGCTCTGCCTACCCAGCCAGACTTTGCATTTCGGACTATACATTTCTTTTTCTTTTTTCTTTTTCAAGATAGAGTCTTGCTCTGTTGCCCAGGCTGGAGTGCAGTCGCACGATATTGGCCCACTGCAACCTCCACCTCCTGGGTGCAAGCAATTCTCCTGCCTCTGCCACCCAAGTAGCTGAGACTAAAGGCGTGCACCACTACATCTGGCTAATTTTTGCATTTTTAGTAGAGACGTGGTTTCAGCATGTTGGCTAGGCTGGTCTCTAATGCCTGGCCTCAAGTGATCCACCCACCTTGGCCTCCCAGAGTGCTGGGATTATAGGGCATGAGCCACTGTGCCCAGCCTGGACTGTGCATTTCTTCTTTTTTCTTTTTTTGAGACAGAGTTTCGTTCTTGTTGCCCAGGCTGAAGTGCAATGGCACAATCTTAGCTCACTGCAACCTCCGCCTCCCAGGTTCAAGTAATTCTCCTGCTTCAACCTCCCGAGTAGCTGGGATTACAGGCATGCGCCACCACACCTGGCTGATTTTTTGTATTTTTAATAGAGATGGGGTTTCTCCATGTTGGTCAGGCTGGTCTCGAACTCCCAACCTCAGGTGATCCACCCACCTCAGCCTCCCAAAGTGCTGGGATTACAGGCATGAGCCACCGCGCCCGGCAAAACAAACTTTTTCTTTTTCAGATGGAGTTTCACTCTTGCTGCCCAGGCTAGAGTGCAGTGGCGCGATGTTGGCTCACCACAACCTCCGCCCCCTGGGTTCAAGTGATTTTCCTGCCTCAGCCTCCTGAGTAGCTGGGATTACAGGCATGTGCCACCATGCCCAGCTAATTTTGTATTTTTAGTAGAAACGGGGTTTCTCCATGTTGGTCAGGCTAGTCTCAAATTCCCGACCTCAGGTGATCTGCCTGCCTTGGCTTCCCAAAGTGCTGGGATTACAGGCGTGAGCCACTGTACCCAGCCTGGACTATGCATTTCTTAAGGAAGAAAGAATGAAAGTCACAGGTCAGTCACCTGCCCGAGGAGCTGTGTTACATTCTCATTTAATCTTCACAAACCCCTTGGTGAAACAGATCAGGAGACGAAGGCTCAGAGAGGGTCAGGGATTTTCTATCGGTACAGGGCTTGGGAACGGCACAGCTGTCATTTGAACCCAGGTCCAATGGTCTCAATGCCTTTTCCTCCTATACCACACTGATGCCTCCGGTGAGAAACAAGCCCAGGGAATGACAGACTTACTGAGAGAATGGCCCTCCAATACAGGGCAGTAAAGGTAATGTTTTGCTACGAAAGATGGTCCCAAAACAATAACATCCTGTTGTTATGAATAGGTAAAGAACTGTTTTTCCATAGGATCATAGAGAAGAGTACTCTGCTCCCACCCAGAATCTCCTTAGGAAATGTAATATAGAAGTTCCATTTGGTTGCTTTGCCCCTACTGGGGTTTCCTTTTGGGAGGGAGTTCTAGGCATGCTCATAGTAGTCTTCCAAAACACTGTAAAACTGGCTGGGTGCAGTGGCTCATGCCTGCAATCCCAGCACTTTGGGAGGCCGAGGTGGGCAGATCACTTGAGGCCAGGAGTTCAAGACTAGCCTGGCCAACATGGTGAAACCCCGTCTCTACTAAAAATACAAAAATTAGCCAGGCGTGGTGGTGCGCACCTGTAATTCCAGCTACTCAGAAGGCTGAGGCAGGAGAATGGCCTCAACCCAGGAGGCAGGGACTGTGGTGAGCCGACATCGCGCCATCACACTCCAGCCTGAGCAAGAGAGCGAGATTCTGTCTCAAAAAACAAAAAACAAACAAAACAAAACAAAAAACTCTAAGACCATGATTGATTCTTTCTTTTAGCTCTTTTTAGAAAATTAAATAAAACAAATGCATGAATGACTGGCTCAAAATGTACACATTGTCTTTGTGTCTCAATGACAGACCTGCAATGTGTCCAGCCCTGAGGTTTGGCGTTGTAAAAGAACACAGACTTTGGAATTGATTAGACCTGGACCTGAAGGAAGGCACTGCTGCTTTCTTCCAGAATGAGCTTGCAGAAATTACTTCATTGAGCCTCCATCCCCTTATCTGGAAAATGGAGACGTCACCACCACCGTGAGGAGATGATGAAAGGGTTTATAAGAATACCTGATAAAACCCCTACACCAGTGTCTAGTACATTGTAGGTCCTCAGTGGTAGTTGCTATTATTGTTCTTATGAAAGGAAGGGAATAAAACAGAAGTGAAGACAGATGGTGAGAATGGGTTTGGGTCTAGGGAACACTCACCTGAAAGTGTTTCCTACTGAAGAGAGAAAGGAAAAACCATTAATATCCAGTAACATCCACTTCAACCTCACAGGTTCTTATTCAGGCTAACATTTACTAGAGGAACGAATAAGAAAACTGACTCAATGTGACAGGTGATAGGGTGTCCCGGGATGGTACCTAGATGACTTATTACTGTATATCTCGACCCAACGAAGAAGCCCAGAGAACAGAACTTCAGGTGGGCGCATGACAGGGGCCATCCTTCCCCAACCCGCACCTTTTCAAAAGCGTGGAAGAGAAGCTAAGGGACCCAGGGAGCTCTTACCTTTCCAGCAGAACACAGGGCTGTAATACAACAGAAGCCCTGAGATAATGGCCAGTCCCAGCAGAAGGAGACTCACAATGGTTCCCACAATCCCCCCAATATTTACAGGTTCTGTAAAGACAAATCACACCGTTGATTCTTCCATCAGATATGTGTGCAATCAGAACACCACCTTCCTTTCTCTGCGTGGATCCAGTTCTTGTCTTATCTTGATTGCTGACCTTGGGTACGGCTTATGACCTGTCTGTAATGCCAGACAAATATTTTATCACCCAACCTCAGAGAGTTTGTGGGGATGAGATGGAGCAGGGAATGTGAAAAAACAATGGAAAGTTAAAATCTCTCTGTCTACCAAACATTGAGACTATTTATAAGGCCATGGTAAGTAAGAGTGTGAGAGTTATCCATGCCATGATAAACAGAGTGATCAATGGAACAGAACAGAGAATCCAGGAACAGGTCCACACGTAAATATACTTGATATATGACAAGGTATTGAGCAAAGGAAGCACTATTTAAGAATTGGTACTAGAGCCTGGGCGTGGTGGCTCACGCCTGTAACCCCAGCACTTTGGGAGGCTGAGGAGGGCGGATCACCTGAAGTCAGGAGTTTGAGACCAGCCTGACCAACATGGTAAAACCCCATCTCTACTAAAAATACAAAATTAGCCAAGTGTGGTGGTGCATGCCTGTAATCCCAGCTCCTCGGGAGGCTGAGGCAGGAGAATCGCATAAACCCGGTAGGTGGGGGTTGTAGTGAGCCAAGATCGCGCCATTGCACTCCAGCCTGGGCAACAAGAGTGAAACTCCGTCTCAAAAAAAGAAAGAAAGGGGAGGGAAGGTGTGGGAAGGGAAGGGCAAGGAAAGAAAAGAAGGCAGGCAGGAAAGGGAAAAGGGAGATGAAAAGGGGAAAGGGAGAAGGGAAGGGAAGAAAGAAAGAAAGAGGCCAGGTGTGGTGGCTCATGCCTGTAATCTCAACACTTTGGGAGGCTGAGATGGGAGGATCACTTGAGCCCAGGAGTTCAAGGCCAACCTGGTCAACATGGAGAGACCCCATCTCTATAAAAAATAAAATAAAAATAGACATCTATAGTAAAAATTAGAATTCAGGACCGTGGTTACCTTTCAAGAGGGGCCCAGGATGAGACTAGGCCCACAGGGAGGGTTCCCAGGTAAAATTCGGTATGCCCAGTGAAATTTGGATTTCAGATAAACAATGAATAGTTTTTTAGTGTAAGTATGTCCCATGAAATATCTGGAACACACTTATACTAAAAAAAAAAAAAAAATTATTTTTCTAAACTCAAATTTAACTAGGCATCCTGTTTTTAAAGTTCTATTGTTATTTTCTTCTTTTCGAGATGGAGTCTTGCTCTGCCGCCCAAGCTGGAGTGCAGTGGCACAATCTTGGCTCACTGCAGCCTTCACCTCCCAGAGTCCAGTGATTCTGCCTCAGCCTTCTGAGTAACTGGGATTATAGGCACCTGCCACCATGCCCAGTTAATGGTCTCTAACTCCCAACCTTAGGTGATCTGCCTATCTCAGCCTCCCAAGTAATTTTGTTTTTTTACTAGCGATGGGGTTTCACCATATTGGCCAGGCTGGTCTCGAACTCCTGGCCGCAACTGATCCACCCGCCTCGGCCTCCCAAAGTGCTGGGATTACAGGCGTGAGCCACCGCGCCCAGTCCTATTGTTGTTTCCAAATCTGGCCCTGAGACATACCAGTAACCTAATGCATGTTGGTACTATTCTATATCCTAAATGGGATGACAGTTTCTTAGGTGTTCCTTTTGCTGTTATGCTTCACAACTGATACACACTAGATATCTATTCTTTGGTGTGTATAGATAGTATGTAATTTTTGCTACCTATGTAAATATTAGTGAGTTTGGGGTTGGATAATAATGTATTCCAGCCACCTTGTCAAGTCATAAGCAAGCGGATATGCCTTCTCCCAGTTGGCAGTGACCCACGTGCAGGGAGGCACCAGGCCGTCCCCATGCTGGTGCTGGGTGCTCTGAAGCTCTGAACCCTCCTCCTTCAGGCTCAGTTCCACCACTCACCTTTCACACTCAGCCAGATTTCCACCTCCCTCACCCCTACAGGGCTGTCAGCCCGGCAGACGTAGTAGCCCTCATCCAGGTCCTGGGAGCAGTTGTGGATGGTGAGGGTGGAGTCCTGGCCGTCCTGGGTAATGAGATGGCGGCTGCTGGGCTGGATGACCACCTCAGGCTGGGTAAGGTTCCTCAGCCACAGGATCTTGGCAGGGGGGTAGGCCCCAGACACCTGACAGGTAAGTGTCACATTGCCTCCAACGAAGCAAGTCTTCATGGGCTCAGAGAGAAGGGAGGGACCCCCTGGTGATCAGAAGGTAAAGAAAGACAAATGTTAGAGATTCAAGTCATGAACTGAGATCTGCAAGAAAAATACAGTAGTCTTCTTTTTTTTTTTTTGAGATGGAGTTTTTGCTCTGTTGCTCAGGCTGGAGGGCAGTGGCGTGATCTTAGCTCACTGAAACCTCTGCCTCCCTCTCGGGTTCAAGCAATTCTCCTGCCTCAGCCTCCTGAGCTGGGATTACAGGCATGTGCCACCACACGTGGCTAATTTTTGTATTTTTAGTAGAGACAGGGTTTCACCATGTTGCCCAGGCTGGTCTCAAACTCTCAAGCTCAGGTGATCTGCCCATCTCAGCCTCTCCCAAAGTGCTGGGATTATAGGCGTGAGCCACCGCATCCGGCCCCAGTCCCCTTTATCCGTGATTTTACTTTCTGAGGTTTCAGCTACCATGGTCAACTACAGTGCAAAAATATTAAATGGAAAATTCCAGAAATAAACTTTTTTTTTTTTTTTTTTTTTGAGATGGAGTCTCACTTTGTCACCCAGGCTGGAGTGCAGTGGTGCAATCTTGGCTCACTGCAATCTCTGCCTCCTGAGTTCAAGAGATTCTCCTGCCTCAGCCTCCCGAGTAGCTGGGATTACAGGCGTGAGCTACCACGCCCGGCTAATTTTTGTATTTTTAGTAGAGACGGGGTTTTACCATATTGGCCAGGCTAATTTCAAACACCTGCCTCAGCCTCCCAAAGTGTTGGGATTACAGGTATGAGCCATCATACCCGGCCAATTCATAAACTTTTTATCTTTTTCTTTTCTTGCAGTACTTTTAATATTCACAATTTCCTAAGTTTTAAACTGCACACTGTTCTGAGTCGTGTGATGAAATCTTGCACCATCCTGAATGAGCCTTTCTTCATCACAAGAAGAAGGCTGAGTAGATATTTTGAGAGAAAGATCACATTCGCATAATTTTTATTACCGTATATTGTTATACTTGTCTATTTTTTATTAGTTACTATTGTTAATCTCTTATTGTGCCTAATGTATAAATTAACCTTATCATAAGTATTTATGTATAGGAAAAAGCATAGTACATATAGGGTTCAGTGCTACCCATGGTTTCAGGCATCCACTGGGGATCTTGGAACATATCCCTTATGGATAAAGGAGGAACACTACCTTTCCTTCCTAATGAAGCAACTCCAGAAATTTTTTCTTTTTTTTTTTTTTTCTGAGACAAGGTCTTGCTATGTTGCCCAGGCTGGAGTGTAGTGGCATGATCTTGGTTCACTGCAACCTCTGCCTCCCAGATTCAAGCAATTCTCATGCCTCAGCCTCCCAAGTAGCTGGGATTACAGGTGCCCACCACCACGCCCAGCTAATTTTTGTACTTTTAGTAGAAACAGGGTTTCACCATGTTGGTCAGGCTGGTCTCGAACTCCTGACCTCAAATGATCTGTCCACCTTGGCCTCCCAAAGTGCTGGGATTACAGGCATAAGCCACCGCACCTGGCCAACTCCAGAAATTTCTGTACCACACCTGGTGTTACATAATAATAAGCCTAACATTAACTAAGCATTTACTGTGGGCAAGGCACTGTTACACATATTAACCCAATTCACTCTCACAGCAACCCTGTTATTATGCCCATTTTGCAGATAAGGAAACTGAGGCACAGAGAAAGTTAAGTAATTTGCTCAATGCTACAGAACTAAATAGGAAATGCAGCTATGATACAGAGTGATCAACTGTCCCAGTCTGCCCAGGACGTGGAGTTTTCCCAGGACGTGGAGTTTTCAGTCCTAAAACCAGGAGAGTTCTGGGCAAACCAGGATAAACTGGTTCCTGTATCCACAAGCTTTCCTTCTATGCTATATACTACTACATACAAAAACTGTACTGATCATATAAAAAATGGACACATATCTAACAAGGATTTCAAGGGGACAAGAGGGCAGCTGTATTTGTTTCCAATTGCTGATGTAACAGATTGTGACAAACTTAGTAGCTTGAAGCACATTTATTCTCTTACAGTTCTGGAGGTCAGGAGTCTGGAATGATCTTACATCAAGGTTAACATCAAGGTGTTGGCAGAGCTGGTTCCTTCTGGACGCTCTAGAGCAAGCTTGTGTGACCTGCAGCCTGTGGGCCAAATTCAGCCCAGGATGGCTTTGAATGTGAGGACATGTTTGCTTCTCTGTGGTGGTAGATACCATGAAAATTATGCACGGACCCTTTTTTTTTTCCGCTCATCACCTGTCGTTAGTGTTAGTGTTTGTGTGAAATGCACTCCCATCATCCAATTACCTCCCACCAGGTCCCTCCGCCAATATTGGGAGTTACAATTCAACATGAGATTTGGGTGGGGACACAAAGCCAAACCATATTATGAGGTTTTGCTGTGTTGCTCAGGCTGGTCTCAAACTCCTAGGCCCAAGCAATCTGCCTGTCCTCGGCCTCCCAAAGTGCTGGGATTATAGGCATGAGCCACCATGCCTGACTGATCCTGGCGCTTCTCATCTCCCTTAACTTCGCCCATCCCCCCACTTTTTTTTGAGACAGAGTTTCACTCTGTCACCCAGGCCTGGAGTGCAGTGGCACAATATTGGCTCACTGCAGCCTCAGCCTCCTAGATCGGCCGCCCCAGTAGCTGGGATTATAGGTGCATACCACCATGCCCAGCTACCTTATTTATTTTTTATTTTTTGTAGAAACAAGGTCTGTGTTACCCAGGCTGGTCTCAAATTTGTAGCCTCAAGCTATCCTCCCACCTCTGACTCCCAAAGTGCTGGGATTACAGGCGTGAGCCATCACGCTGGGCCTTCTCTCTTCTTACAAAGAAATACACCAGTCATTGAATTACAGCCCGTTCTAATCCAGTATGACCTTATCTTAACTTGATTCCATCTGCAAAGACTCTTTCCGAATAAAGTCATATCCATAGGTATTAGGGTTTGGACTTGAACATACCTATTTGGGGGACACAACTGAATCCCCAACCTCCATCCAGCTTTATCAGTATTTTACACACAACGCCCCGGTCACACGGGTCTTCTCTCGGGTCCTCAAATGCCAAATTTGTTTCCACCTCAGGGCCTCTGCGTTTGCTATTGCCTCTGCCAGGAACATTCAGACCACGGTCTTCACCTAGCCAGCTCCTTCTCATTCTAAGGATAGATTACCACCTCAAGGAGACCTCCCTGCCACCCTAGGAAAAGTGTCCCTCTTCTTATAAAGATCTCTCTTTTATACATACCATTTTATTATCCTCATAATTATTATCATATCTGGACCTATCTTACTTGTTTTTGTACTTTCTGTCTTCCTTCTACCTCCATGCCACCCAGGATATAAGCTCTGTGAAAGAGGAATGGTTATGGTTTTAAAAATATGTACAGACATTCTCTGACACTCCTCCCTTCAAAAAGTGGTGACTAATTCTCCCCAGTTCTCTTGAATGTGGGCTGGACTCATTTCTAATACACAGAGTGTGCAGAAGGGATCCCATGTAACTCCTGAGGCTAGGTCATAGAAAGGATAGCATCGGCTTGACTCACTCCGTCTTGAATCATTTGCTCTGGGGGAAGCCAGCCGCCATGTTGGCAGGAAATTCAAGGAGCCTTATGGAGAATCCCACATGGAGAAGAAATAGTTGCCAGGGATGGGAGTGAGGACTTCAAAAGTGATTTCAGCCCCCCAACCTTCAAATCTTCCGGCTGACACCCCAGACATATAGAGCCAAGACAAACCATCCCCAATGCCCACTGTCCCCTGTCTGAATTCCTGACCCACAGAAATCGTCAGATAATAAATGGTCATTCTTGTTTTAAGCCACTACGTTTGAGAGTAATTTGTTACATAACTAGATGCTATAGTTTGAATGTTTGTCCCCTCCAAATCTTATGTTTAAATTTGATCCTCAATGTTGGAGGTAAGGCCTAATGGAAGGTATTTGGATAAGTGAATTCTCATTCTATTAGCTTGGTGCAAAAGTAATTACAATTTTTGTCATTATTTCCTTTTATTTTTCTTTTATTTTTTTGAGATGGAGTCTTGCTCTGTCGCCCAGGCTGGGGTGCAGTGGTGTGATCTTGGCTCACTGAAAGCTCTGCCTCCTGGGTTCATGCCATTCTCCTGCCTCAGCCTCCTGAGTAGCTGGGACTACAGGCACCTGCCACCACGCCTAGCTATTTTTTTTTTTTTTTTTTTATTTTTAGTAGAGACAGGGTTTCACTGTGTTGGACAGGATAGTCTCGATCTCCTGACCTCATGATCCGCCTGCTTTGGCCTCCCAATGTGCTGGGATTACAGGCATGAGCCACCATGCCCGGCCTGTCATTACTTTCAATGGCAAAACCACAGTTACTTTTGCACCAATCTAATATTAGTGCTGGTTGTTTTTTTTTTTTTTTTTTTTTTTTTTTGAGATGGCATCTCACTCTGTCACCCAGGCTGGAGTGCAGTGGCACAATCTTGTTCACTGTAACCTCCGCTTCCTGGTTTCAAGCAATTCTCCTGCCTCAGCCTCCCGAGTAGCTGGTACTACAGGCACGCACCACCACGCCTGATTAATTTTTGTATTTTTAGTAGAGATGGGGTTTCATGATGTGGCCAGGCTGGTCTCAGACTCCTGACCTCAAGTGATCTATCAGCCTTGGCCTCCCAAAGTGCTAAGATTACAGGTGTGAGCTACTGCGCCCAGCAAGCACTGGTTGTTAAAAAGAGCCTGGCACCTCCCTTCTCTCTTGGTTCCTCTCTCACTATGGATCTCTGCACAAGCTGGCTCCCCTTTTCCTTCTGTCATGAGCAGTAGCGGCCTGATGCTCTCACCAGAAGCCAAGCAGATGCTGGTGCCATGTTTCTTGCACAGCCTATGAAACTATGAGCAAATGAACTAATTTTCGGCGAGGCCCAGTGGCTCACACCTGCAATCCCAGCACTTTAGGAGGCTGAGGCAGGTGGATCACTTGAGGTCAGGAGTTCGAGACTAGCCTGGCCAACATGATGAAACCCCATTTCTACTAAAAATACAAAAATTAGCCAGGCATGGTGGTGCATGCCTTTAGTCCCAGCTACTCAGGTGGCTGAGGCAGGAGAATCACTTGAACCTGGGAGATGGAGGTTGCAGTGAGTCAAGATTGTGCCACCGCACTCCAGTCTGGGCAACAGAGCAAGACTCTGTCTCAAAAAAACAAAAACAAACAAACAAACAAACAATTTTCTTTATAAACTACCCAGCCTCAGGTATTCCTTTACAGCAACAGTAAATGGACAGACACAAAAGATGATGAACCTCATCTGTCTTGTTCACTGCTCCACCCTCAGCATGTAGAAACTGTACCTGGCACATAGCACGTGCCCAATTAGTATTTGTCAAGCGGAAAATAGCTTGGACTAGAACGAAGAAGCTTGAGCTTCGAAGCATCTCTGAAGTTTGAAAGGAATGAAACACAAAGAAAAAGAAAGGAAGAAAGGGAAGGAATTCAGTCCACTCTGACATCCTGGGATTTCTTCCTCAGAAGAACTCTCAAATGCTTCTCCCAGGAGAAAGGAAGGCAGGTGAACTCCCAACCCCAAGACAAAGCAAAACAGACTCACTGATCTGCACCACGCAGCTGGCGCCCGACGCTGGCCCGACTATGTGGCTTGTAACACACTTGAACTTCTTGCCATCCGAGAGCTGGGACTCGCTCAGCATTTCCACCCCCAGCTTTGACTTGCCCACGATTACACCTCCTGGCTCTTCTATCCACAGGAAGTCAGGGTCAGGGTATCCCCCATCCCAGCGACAGGTGAGCTGCAGCATGAACGATCCTGATGCCATCTGTGCCCAGCACTGGGGAGCTGATGGAGGGGGGTCTGCAAAACACCAGAGGAGAGCATGGGCTGAATCACTGACTCTAGGATCAGCCACTTGGCTGACTCTAAGGATGGCAGAACCAGGGTCTCAGAGAGACATCAACCCCCGTTAGTGTCAGTGTCCAATAGCTCCTAGCACAAATTCATGCCTGACAACACTCAGGTTTCCTCTGTTGGGTGTTAAATCTCTGAGGACCTGGGTCTCATTCGCCTTTGTATTTCTTTCTTTCTTTTTTTTTTTTTTGAGACAGAGTTTCACTCTTGTCGCCCAGGCTGGAGTGCAGTGGCACAATCTCGGCTCACTGCAACCTCTGCCTCCCAGGTTCAAGCAGTTCTCCTGCCTCAGCCTCCCAAGTAGCTGGGATTACAGGCATGCGCCACTGTGCCCCGCTAATATTTGTATTTTTAGTAGAGACAGGGTTTTGCCATGTTGGTCAGGCTGTTCTTGAACTCCTGACTTCAGGTGATCCACCTGCCTCAGCCTTCCAAAGTGTTGGGATTATAGGCGTGAGCCACCGCGCCCAGCCTCGCCTTTGCATTTCTTATTTATTTTTTAATCTATTTTTTTTTTTAATACAGACAGGGTTTTGCCATGTTGGCCAGGATGGTCTGAACTCCTGGCTGGCCTCAGATGATCCACCTGCCTCGGCCTCCCGAAGTGCTGAGATTACAGACGTGACTACCACGCCCAGCCCCACTCTGCATTTCTACAGTGGTTTTTGTCCAAGATATTTGTGTATGGGAGTGTTTGGTTGGTGTTTCCACCCCTGAGATAAAGGTTCATGGACCACTTGTTCACAACAGTGCTAGAGGGCCTGGTGCCTGTGACAGTCACACTGGGTCCACAAAAAGAATGTATATAGATGGATAGATGAACACATAAATTGTGGTCCATCCATGCAAGGAATGCACTATTATTCAGCCATTAAAAGGAATGCATTACTGATACATGCCTCAACATAGATGAACCTCAAAAACATGACGACAGGTGAAAGAAGTCAGACACAAAAAGCCCCACATTGCATGATCCATTCATATGAAGTGTCCAGAACAGGCCAACCCACAGGGACAGAATGCAGATTGGGGGTTGTCCAGGTCTGGGGAAAAGAGGGAATGAGGGTGACTGCTTATTGGGTACAGGATTTCCATTTGGGATGACAAAAATGCTTTGGAGGGCCAGCTGTGGTGGCTCACGCCAGTAATCCCAATACTTTAGGAGGCTGAGGTGAGCAGATCACTTGAGCTCAGGAGTTTGAGATTAGCCTGGGCAACATGGGGAGACCCTGTCTCTACCAAAAATACAAAAATTAGTCGGGTATGGTGGCACATGCCTGTGGTCCCAGCTGCTCTGGAGGCTGAGGTGGGAGAACTGAATGGCTTGAATCCGGAAGGTGCAGGCTGCAGTGAGCAGAGATCGCGCCACTGCACTCCAGCCTGGGCGACAGAACGAGACTCGGTCTCAAAAAAAAAAAAAAAGAAAATGTTTTGGAACCTGACACAGGTGATGGTTGCATAAAAGCACTGAATGCCACTGAATTATACATTTTTCTTTTTACTTTTTTTTGAGACAGAGTCTCACCCTGTTGCCCAGGCTGAAGTGCAGTGGCACAATCTCGGCTCACTGCAACCTCTGTGTCCCAAGTTCAAGTGATTCACCTGCCTCAGCCTCCTAAGTAGCTGGGATTACAGGCGTGAGCCATTGCACCCATTCAATTGTATGTTGTTAAATGGTTAATCCTATGTACTTTCACCTCAATTTAGGGGAAAGAAAAAAAAAGAATGCATTAGTGTCCTTCCATGGCTCCCAAGCACTCTCCTGCACCCCTGCATAGCAGCAAGCTTCTAGAAGGCATGATTCCCTCCCTGAGTGTAGCAGCCCCGGGTGTGTGTATTGGGGGAGCCACAGATATATGTTCAGAAGAACCATGTAGCAGGCATGCCTTTAATGACAAACAGGAGGCCGGGCACAGTGGCTCACGCCTGTAATCCCAGCACTTTGGGAGGCCAAGGCAGGCAGATCACCTGAGGTTGGGAGTTCGAGACCAGCCTGATCAACATGAAGAAACCCCGTCTCTACTGAAAACACAAAATTAGCCGGGTGTGGTGGGGCATGCCTGTAATCCCGGCTACCTCGGGAGGCTGAGGCAGGAGAATCGTTTGAACCCATGAGGTGGAGATCGCGGTGAGGTGAGATCACACCTTTGCACTCCAGCCTGGGCAACAAGAGTGAAACTCCATCTCAAAAAAAAAAAAAAAAAGACAAATGAGAGAGGCACAAACATGCAGTTCGTAAGTTCATAAAGGGTTAAGGGGAAGAAGTAGGGCAGAGCAGTGCTGCTTACGCACAGTAGACCAGGAGCTCGGTGGTCACCTTTCGATGTCTCTTGCTGAGCAGATTCAAGGCCAAACAGGTGTAGTTCCCTTGGAGGTTTGGCGACATCAGTAACAGCGAGAAAGAGTTGACTGTCAGATTGTGGCCGAAGGACTCACTGCTGGAATTCAGGGCCTGGAACCACCATTCAACCATGGGTGGTGGCCTGGAGCTGCTGTTGCAACTGAAGTCCACCCCGGAGCCCCTGGCTGCATAGAGGGTGCCGTTGGGGAGTGTGCCGGTGGCTGCGATGTGGACCTCAATCTGATAGGGGCCGCCTGGGAATGACAGAGGGAATAGGATGGCATTAATTATGTAAGAGTTCATTTGATTGTCACTGGGCGCGGTGGCTCACGCCTGTAATCCCAGCACTCTAGGAGGCCGAGGCAGGCGGATCACGAGGTCTGGAGTTCGAGACAAGGCTGACCAACATGGTGAAACCCCGTCTCTACTAAAACATTAAAACAAAATTAGCTGGGCATGGTGGCGCACACCTGTAATCCCAGCTACTCAGGAGGCAGAGGCAGCAGAATCACTTGAAACCAAGAGGCAGAGGTTGCAGTGAGCCGAGATCGTGCCATTGCACTCCAGCCTGGGCGGGCAACAGAGGGAGATTCCATCTCAAAAAAAAAAAGAGTTCATTCGATTGCCTTACCAACTCTAATATATAAACGAACAAGAAACAGCCAATGAAGAGTATGGTATCTAATACTATGTGACAAATGCTATGCCAAGTGCCCTGATACATTATTTCATTTAATCCTGGGTGACTATGTGAGATTTTATTAGGGGCATAAATCTTTACAGAACAGCAAAAGTATATATTGCTCCTTAAAAAAAAAAAAAAAAACTGTAAGGGCTAGACACAGTAGCTTATGCCTATAATCCTAGCACTTTGGGAGGCTGAGGTAGGAGGATCACTTGACGCCAGGACTTCCAGACCAACCTGGGAAACATAGTAAGACCCCATTTCTATAAAAAAATAAAAATTAGGGCTGGCATGGTGGCTCATGCCTGAATTCCCAGCACTTTAGGAGGCCGAGGGAGGTGGACCACTTGAGGTCAGGAGTTCAACACCAGCCTGGTCAACATGACAAAACCCTGTCTCTACTAAAAATACAAAAATCATCTGGGCGTGGTCGCGCATGCCTGTAATCCCAGCTACCAGGGAGGCTGAGGCAGGAGAATCACTTGAACCTGGAAGGTGGATGTTGCAGTGAGCCGAGATTGCGCCACTGCACTCTAGCCTAAGCAACAGAGAAAGACTCCGTCTCAAAAAAAAAAAAAAAAAAAAAACCCAACACTGCAAGGGCTAGGTACGGTAACTCATGCCTGTAATCCTAGCATTCTGGGAGGCTGAGGTAGGAGGATCACTTGAGGCCAGGAGTTCCAGACCAACCTAGGAAACATAGCTAGACCCAATCTCCACAAAAAATTTAAAAATTAATGCCGGCACGGTGGCTCATTCCTGAACTCCCAGCACTTTCGGAGGCCGAGGCAGGCAAATCACTTGAGGTCAGGAGTTCAAGACCAGCCTGGTCAACATGACTAAACCGTGTCTCTACAAAAAATACCAAAATTAGTTGGGCGTGGTGGCACACACCTGTAATCCCAGCTGCTTGGGAGGCTGAGGCAGAATTGCTTGAACTTGGGAGACAGAGGTTGCAGTGAGCCAAGATCGCATAACTACACTCCAGCCTGGGCAAGAGAGTGAGACTTCGTCTCAAAATAATAAATAAATAAATAAATAAATAACCAGGTGTGGTATCACGTGCCTATAGTCCCAGCTACTCAGGAAGCCGAGGTGGGAATCTGGCTTTGGCCTGGAAGGTTGAGGTTGCAGTGAGCCATGATCTTGCCCCTGCACTCCAGCCTGGGTGACAGAGTGAGACCTTGTCTCAAAACAAAACAAAACGCTACAGAAGGGAAAGTGTATCTGTGCAGCGAAGAATTAACACAGCAGTCCTGGGACTCTGGCTTTCCTAGAAAGGCTTGCTTGCAAGGCTGGCCATTTGCTGCTATCCGGGAACTTGGATTTCAGGAGAATTCCCATCATTCCTAGAACTGAGAAGAGTGGCTTGCTGTGCCTAAACTATGCAAACAATCTGGTTTAAACTGGGCCTAGTATGGTGGCTCATGCCTGGAATCCCAGCACTTTGGGAGGCCAGGTGGGTGGATCACCTGAGGTCAGGAGTTTGAGACCAACCTGGCCACAGTGTGAAATCCTCGTTTTCTACTAAAAATGCAAAAATTATGCCAGTGCATGGTAGAGTGACACCTGTAATCCCAGGCTACTCAGGAGCTGAGGCAGGAGAATCGCTTTGAACCGCAGGAGTGTGAGGTTCAGTGATCCGAACGTACCATTCACTTCCAGCCGGTCAAAAAAAGCAATCTCTGTCTCAACAAAAAAAATAAAAAAGTGGTTAAACTGACATCTCTTTTCCTCTAGGTAGTCATGAATTCAGCTAACTGCAAGCAGAGGTGCCCACAGATGAATCTCCCAACACAAAAACTTGAGTCACTGAGTCCTCAATTGAGTTTCCCTAGTAGACATTTCGTGTGACTTACACACAGGCTCAGTTTCTGAAGATTTCACGTTATCCCATCATTGTGACTTCCGCTAGGAGATAACTTGGAAACTGCGCCTATACCTGGGTTTTATCCTCATTGCGCCTCTTTTCCCTTTGCAGGTTTGTTGTTTGATCCTTTTGCTGGAATAAATCATCCTACGTGCTGAGATCCTGTGGGTCCTCTTAGTCAGTATCGTCAAACCTGGGTGACCATCAGCACAGTTACACACTGAAAAAGCAAGAAATTGTGCCAGGTCAGCCCTGGGCGCGTGTTCTCACGCCTGTATTCCCAGCAATTTGGGGAGTGCTAGAGACGGACAGATTAAGATCACAAGGTCAGGAGATTCAGACCATCCTGCTAACACGGTAATACCTCCGATCTCTACTAAAAATTATCAAAATATTAGCTGACGCGGGTGGTGGGCGCCCTGTTCCCCAGCTTAGTTCGGGAGCTAGGGAAAACGGCATATGACCCAGGATCAGAGCATGCAGTAGACCAATGTAACGGCCACTCACCCACCTGGAGGTGTCAGAGCTGACTATCCATCTCAAAAAAAATAAAAAAAAAAAAAGAAACGGGGCAGGATGCAGTGTCTCAAGCTGTAATCCACACTAAGGGAGGTCGAGGTGGGTGGGTCACCTTAGGTCATGAGTTTGAGACCAGCCTGTCACACACGGTGAAACCTCATCTCTACTACAAATACAAAAACTAGCCGGGTGTGGTGGCACGTGCCTGTAATCCCAGCTACTCGGGAGACTGAGGCAGGAGAATTGCTTGAACCCAGGAGGGGGAGACTGCAGTGACCTGAGATCTGCACTCCAGCCTGGACGACAGAGTGAGACTGTCTCAAAAAAAAAAAAAAGCAAGCAATGGACTAGTCTGACTTTGGCCAAATTACCCTCCTCAGCCTCCATGTCCTCATCTATAAAATGGGGTGATGACAGTTCCCACTTCCTGGGGTTGCGGTGACAACTACACGAGTGGGTGCAGTGAGGCACTGGGAACAGTGCGGGCATGTTGGAAACACCTGATGAATTGTTAGGCCTCATCTCAGTTCTTTTCACGTTTCCTTTTTTTTTTATATATATGAGACAGAGTTTCACTCTTGCTGTCCAGGCTGGAGTGCGGTGGGGCTATCTCAGATCACCACAACCTCCGCCTCCCGGGTTCAAGCCATTCTCCTGCCTCAGCCTCCCAAGTAGAGTAGCTGGGACTCCAGGCGCCCGTCACCACACCTGGCTAATTTTTGTATTTTCAGTAGAGACGGAGTTTTACCATGTTGGCCAGGCTGGTCTCGAACTCTTGACCTCAAATGATCTGCCCATCTCAGCCTCCCAAAGTGATGGGATTATGGGCATGAGCCACTGTGCCCAGTCTTCTCTTCACATTTCTGAACTTCCTTCTTGTCCCCTGAAATGCCTTCCACTGTTGGTACCCAGGACCTCTAAGATTCTGCATCCCCTTGAAGAATATATCTCCTTCCAAAATATATATAATTATTACTTGTCAATTCAAACGTTTCTATTTTAGTTTTTGTTACTTTTAAAAATTACGTATTTATGTATTTGAGATAGGGTCTCCCTCTATCACCCAGGCCGGAGTGCAGTGACACAATCACAGCTTACTGTGGCCTCAAACTCTCAGGCTTAAGCAATCCTCCCATCTTAGCCTCTCGAGTAGGTGGGACTACAAGCATGCAACAGCACACCAGCTAATTTTTAAATTTTTTATAGAGATAGAATCTCGCTATGTTGCCCTGGCTGGTCTCAAATCCCTGGGATCAAGCAATTCTCTCACCTCAGCCTCCCAAAGTGGTGGCATTACAGATGTGAGCCACTGCACCTGGACCAATTAAACATTTTTTAAAAGACTGTACCTAACAGCTGTTCATCCTTAAGTAATTCAGTGTCCTACCTCTCCCAGAGACTTCCTCTTTAAAAAAAATAAAAGTAGGCCAGGCATGCTGGCTCACGCCTGTAATCCCAGCAACTTGGGAGGCCAAGGCAGGTGGATCACTTGGGGTCAGGAATACGAAACCAGCCTGAGCAACACGGCGAAAACCCATCTCTACCAAAAATACAAAAATTAGCTGGGCCTGGTGGCGGGCGCTTGTAATCCCAGCTACTCAGCAGGCTGAGGCAGGAGGTTTCCTTGAACCTGAGAGGCCGATGTTGTAATGAGCTGATATTGCACCACTGGACTCCAGCCTGGGCCATGGAGCGAGACCCTGTCTCAAAAACTAAACTTAAAAAAAATTAAAATTAAAATAAATCCAGGAAGCACAATGTTTAACCAAAAGAATAAATCTATGGCTGCAGATTTTTGAACAGAAATAGGCCAGCAACAAAAATTATTTGCAGCCGGGCACGGTGGCTCACACGTGTAATCCCAGCACTTTGGGAGGCTGAGGCACACAAATCACCTGAGGTTGGGAGTTCTCAAGACCAGACTGACCAACATGGTGAAACCCCGTCTCTACTAAAAATACAAAATTAGCCAGGTGTGGTGGTGCATGCCTGAAATCCCAGCTACTCGGGAGGCTGAGGCAGAAGAATTGCTTGAAACCAGGAGGCAGAGGTTGTGGTGAGCTGAGATTGTGCCATTGCACTCTAGCCTGAGCAACAAAAGCGAAACTCAGTCTCAAAAAAAAAAAAATTATTGGCTGGGCGTGGTGGCTCACACATGTAATCCCATCACTTTGGGAGGC